TTAAAACTCTTCTTTATGGTTTTTGCAGTTCAGTACGTGGGGGAACGTGTTGTTAATGAGTACCTTCCCCCCGGAGAAAGTAACCATATCCATAATTTGAATGAAACCGTGTACAAGTTGAGAAATCCCGTGGCTTATCAAGAGCTTGGAGGAGCGATTGTCCCTTATATTCCTGGTCCATAGGTATGCATATGCTAGTAATTTTAAATACTCTGTAGCCTTTAAGAACGTCTCTTATTCTTCTCAATCAAAGCTGATATCTTATTGTTTTGTTTTCTTTAGAACATTTGATTCTATTTCCGACTATTTCTTCTATCCTGTTCTTACTCTTATCCTTGGCTACCATAATTTCCTTTGAGAATCTTAAAATCACTATTGCACTTTGGAACTGATGGGGTGGTGTCTACGTATACTAATCTTTGTGATGGTGCGTCCAGTTTGTACTTACACGCTTTTTGAGTTGTCCTCCTACATTTTCTGTTTTCTCTGATCTTCTATTATGTATACAAAAATTTGCGTTGGTTGTTTTGATTTAGCAAAAATGCATTTTTGAAGATTTATTGTACTAATATTATGCATACTGAATAGGTTGTTCTATTTCCTGCATTGTTGTTTCTTGTCATTTGTATTTCCCTTTACAGTTTTACTTGTAGTTGGGCTTCATTCTGGGAACTTTACGCTTGCGTATGAATAAAGTAATATTGTTATGAGGATTTCTAACATTTGTTTATATGGAGTTTTGCTGAATGGAATGGGAAAGCCTTGCCACATCAGCATCTCTCCACTTTCGAACCCGATTCTCCTGATATTTTTCACCTCTCTTTCTCGCGCCCTGTTCATCACTCTGAAAATATTCTTTCAAGTAATCGAAACAATGATGTCAAAATCAAAATTCAGAGAGTGTCTTCTGTTCTCTCTACAGCTCTATTTTATGTGAACTATTTTTTTTATTTTTATTTTATTTCCGATGCTTGATTTTGATGTATCTTCCTTTTCCCACAATTTTATGTTTATGTGCCAAGATTTTTTATCACAGCTTTAAGAACTTGATGGTGCTCGTGTGATTTTATTTTTGTTTTATTTTTTATGTTGTTGAAATTATCCACAAATTTTGAGCTTGTACGTCGCACGCCTGAATTCTTGAGCTGGGTGGTAGGATCGAATCTACCGAATGAGAAACTACCAGTAGGAATATGTCTTTGTTATCTGTATGTAGATTGTTGTTAATTCATATTGTTTTCATTTTCCTTTTCTGTTCCACCGTGTTTTGCTTGTTTATTTGTCTGTTACTCGTTTCTATCTCTACCGATCTATTTCATTGACGATCATAACTCATATGCTTTGGTCATCTTATATGCAAAAGGTTTAGCTTTGTTGAAATTCTTTTGACTTCTGAGTTTCATGCTATTCATCCATCTTGTTGACTCATAAATTAGTGTACTGATTATTACTTGTTCATCTGGTTGACAGAAGTTTCATGGGGAACTGGGAAGTGATGTCATGGCAAACTCGGGTTGGAGAAAGATTTTTTTAAGAAGCTACGAAGGAACAATGAACACAAGCTTCTGTTTCTTTTTGTGTCAAATCAGTGCATTTTCACCCTAGATAAACTATTTCAGTTCACCACAACTTTAGGGCCTACGGTTTTGGGCAGTGGAAATAACCTCATATAATTGATCTTGCTCTTTCACCCGAACAAAAATATCATCTTCATTTTTTGGTAACAAGAATAGTCTGTGTAGTGTCCTGAATTATAGATTTTTCTGGAGTATTTTTTTTTGTTATGCATTTTATTTTCTTAGCTCGATAAGTTTTTTCGTAATTAATTAGACTAATTGTGTCTATTTAATCTGGTTAGTGAAATAGTTTATTTAGGCATTAGTGTCTATTAAAATTATTTGAATTATCGAATATTCGTTAGCTATTCGATTTATTTATTTAATAGCCGTCGTAGTCGTCTTTAGTCAGTTTTAGATTAATTAGACAGTAGCGTCTATTTAATCATTTGAGTAAATCAATTAATTTAGACATTTAGTCTATTTAAATTATTTGAATTTTTGAATAATCTTATCTATTCGATATTCGCCATTTTGTTTTATTTAGAAAATCATCGTTAGCTGTTTTCGTATCTAATTCTATAGCACCTTAAGCTATTTCTTTTGGTCCAAATCGAACTTATTTTCGGCCCAATTATAAGAGACATCTTGGCCCAAATGTTTAAGATTTTTCCCCAATATTTCTTCTCCTTCATCGAGTCGATCAAATTCTTCCCCAAATCGCGCAGAGCACCATCGCCCAAACACCAAACTTCCAATCGCCATTTAATCCAGCCTTTCGTTCGCTCGAACCCGCCCTGTCGGCGCGCTCCAATCGCCGTCCGCGTGTGTGGCTGCGGGAAGAGAAACCGAGCAGTAGATTCCGGCGAACTCCCAATCAGCCGGACGAGGAGCATCCCGTCGCAGCAGGTCCAGCCAGCGCCGGCGACCCTCCAAAGCCGGCGACCTCCGTGCAGTCCGCGAGCTTTTCCGGCAGCGGCAACGGTCTCTTTTTCGGCGGAGTTCTCCAGCCGCTGGACATCTTTACGACCGAGAAGACAAGAGAAAACCCCTCGCCGGCGACCCACTTCAGCAGCTTCTCGCCGGTTTTCGTTCGAAACAGCCGTCCCTTCACTGCAGCGGCCTGCTTCCTTTTTAAACGAGCAGTGGCCGGTTCGGGCCCCGTGCGAGAAGAACAGCGGCAGCCCTCGTCGGCCGTTTCATATCAACGACTCGCCGAACGTCATGAGACCTGCCGCGTAATTCGAACTGCAGAAACCTTTCCGTTTGTTCGAACTGAGAAGCAACCAGTCGCTACCTTCGATCGAGCAGCATCTGTTCGCGTCTTGGACTGGGAGGGCCGAATGTATCACTGAGCAGCAGCAACACCACTCCTGCTAATGCCGAGCAAGCAGCCCGTGGCCAAAATTTGCACAGCAGAAGCCATACGCGAGAGTCGAGCGAGAGCCGT